CTTAATGTTCTATTTATGGCATAACTGGAGGTGACTTTCTTAATGAAATATGAAATTGTGTTCTCCTTATCATTTAACCAGGTGATAGATACAGTATGCCAAAACGGACTTGCATAGCAGCATTGGATAGCATGACAAACGCATTATGGAGGCAAGGCACGGTACGGTTCGAGTCACGGCACGGCACTGTGTTGTATCTTTGAGCAAGATACTTTACTCCGTCTGTTTCAGTCTACTCAGCTGTAAACTAGTATGTGGTTGGGCAGTGCTAAAATTGTTGAATGCTAGCTGTGAGCGCCGAAATGGCAGCACCGGCTGTATGCTCCCCAGGGAGTTGAGAAAGTTATTGGCTGATTGCAAAGGCCCTATAACCACGGATAATAATGTGTGAACCGCTTTGAGACGACCTATGAACTAGATTGTGAAAAAGCGGTATATAAGAACCTCGAATTATTAATTATTTATGTATTATCATTAGTATTGCATGCAGCTGGTATATGTTTAATACAACCTAACTACATGTGTGTATGTGGAACAAGCTTTTTAACGATACTATTTTCAGTATCCAAATGAAATTATGTTACAACGTAAAGTGTATAACTTAATGTCACAAATTCTTTGAGAACATAGTTTGCTTGCCAGTTTGATAACAATCTTCCTCCGGCCTCTCTTATTTCTTATACATCTTTAAGATAAAAACAAATAACAAAATCAGTAAAAGAAATATATCTCCTGGCATTAAATACCATTCCGTAAATAAATACAAAACTGGGCAGGTGCTGTTAAGGAATTGAGCTAGAGTGTCCCACTCCGTTCGTAATAGCAATCTCATGTGGAAACTTTACGGAATCTTCAGCTTTTGGGACATTACAGAAACTATGACTAAATGCAGCTGAGAGCAAACAGGATGAATAAATAACTAGAAAATATGGTGTGGGTGAGGAAATTACTTTATGCGTCAATAGTTCCCTTTGGTTTTGGTGCAGTCCAAGAATATTTTGGGAAATACCTTAGAGTCGTTTCCTTTGAAAAAGAAAGAAAGAAAGAAAGAAAGAAGAAAGAGAAGAAAGAAAGAAAGAAAATAGGAAATCTAAATAAGTAGATAGTTAATTACATAAATGTTATGTTTTCTTTCTAAAATAAGTTGTAGAGATGATCAGCATTGTTCATTGAATTACATACAAATACCCGATAGGTTAGGCTCATGTCCAATGGTAACCGCAGAGATGCCTTACGGTATTCAGTTGTGTCCAATACAAGGGTAGTTATAGAAATCCTCTCGAGAGGTCAGCAATTTTCTTTTAACAACAAATACTTAATGGGCTTGGTCTATTAATAGGACAGTTGGATAGATCCCTCGAGCGGTCAGCAATGTTCTTTAACATAAAGCAAACAACAACCAATCATTAATGGGCTGAGTTTAATGCTACAAGAGATGTTGGACAGATATCCCCGAACTGTCAGCTGTATCCTTAAAAATAAAACAAAAAATAAATGATGATTAAATTAAAGAGTAATTGGAGAAATATACTAAAGTATTGACCTGCATTTTAACGGCGTATAAGATAGTATGAACGCAGTTGGCAGCGAAAATAATCTTTGGTGCGCGTTAGCGCTCCATGAAGAATATGTTCGTTGCCAATTCGGTTCATACTACCTTATATTTACATTATGAATAATGTTCAAATGTTATACAAAGCAAAAACCATTCAGTGCGGATTGCTACGATGGTAACTACGGAAGCTGTGGTTGCTAGGATAATATAGTTCTAGTGAATCTACATCTATATATTGATAAATAAAGAAAATACGCAGTGAACAACACTGTTTTTCTTCTTTTTATCGCTTGTGAATTATTTATGATTAAGTATTAGTAGGACTTCGAACATATAAATTAATCTATAACGGTCGTTATGCACACATTTTGACACACTGCTCTGGTAGTGACACGGTCAAACGTTACAAAAGGAAGCAGCCATTGTTTGTTTTACCGTCAAGGAATTTTGAATGTGCATCCATAGAATAAGAAGTTTTCTAGCATCACTTTGATGTATAATCATAAATAATAGATCCCCCAAATATGTCCATATTTCTAGAAGTTGAAAGAACCAAACACTGGTTATCGCGCTGAAACGTGAACGGCGCCATATTTGGAATATATATCAATCCGCCGAACCTTTTTTCATTGCGTATACGCTAATGTATACGCAGACAATGTTTACTAAGCTGAGGAAGTAAGAGATGTAAATATAATGAAGTGAACGCAGATATTTATTAACTGTTGACTAATACTTGACTACGTAGAAACATGATATACAATTATGTACATAATCATTTGTCAGATAGTGTACATGTGCTAAACCATGTAGAGGCGTTTTGAACTTTCCCTCACTTTCGTAGAGGGATTAGTTTATCTGCCAGTACGCTAAGACCAGCACTGAGACATAACTTCGATGTACCTAGTTATCAAAACAAAATGTTACACATGTTAATGGACTTGTTTTTTCATGATTCGGCTTAATAATTAGGAAGTTAACATTTTAATTAAAAGATTTTTAACAGATTAAAAGCATAAGATGAAGACAAGATAATCACTGGTTAATCTAAAAGATTTTCTTGAAAGGACTGCTTTAAATTGTGCATTAATTCATCCCTGTGTCTTGTAAAAATGATGTGAAGCAACACTCTGTTCCTGTATCCATAAACATCTTTACAAAATAATATATTTAAAGATAAAATACTTACGTTATTTAACGGACCATTTTTTTCTCATTTCAGTAAAAAAAACCACACAAGTCTTACTTTCAAGACGCCGACAAAAAGCGATGTCGGAATCGAATATTTATACCGCCATCTTTGACGTAGAATTCCTTTTCTGAGTAGCGGGAACAGTTTTTTTTATTATATTTTATTTTGTATAATGTAGCAAGTAGAAAAAAATTCAATTGTTGTCTGTGATTATTGACACAGCATGACTTCAAGAAGAGTTTGGGCACGAGGTTTGATCGAGTGGTTAAAATATGAAAATGCATGTATATGATTACACACTGTCAATAATGCGATCATCACTATGTAAACGCAGATTTTAGATTTTGAAGACGTTTGGAAAAACTTTGCATCAGGCATAGAACTTTATATGAAATAGTTTATTAACAAAAGTTTGTGACGTAGATAGCCCAGACTTGTTCACGTTGTTCATAACAGTACGTGTTCGTCCATTTTCAAATACACATATATTTAGGAAAAGCACGATGAACATAATTGGTAAGTAAATAGTAAACGGTTTATCACGTATTGCCTTAAACGAGTGTTATAAGAACAATGATAATAGTTTTTGGACGTAAAGGGAAAGGTAACCATTGACTCGGCAAGCCTCAAGTTTGGCTACTCACCTATCTTCCTTCTATGATTAAAAATCTCCTACCTCAAAGAGGGAGATATAATCTTTTTCCGCATTTTATATGTGATATTTTGCCAGAAATAAGATAAACCTATCTTTATCTACCCAGTGAAAGTATCGAGTCATCACTTTAAGCAGTGTACCCAGGGTAGCGTAATCACATTTGTCACACATTGCATGCACCATGATAATGGTGCGGAACAATTGGTCACCAATGCAACGTATCATTGTGGAAGGAAGTGTCGGAGAACAAATAATCAATTACTCCTGAGTGAGGCATCAACAGAAAGCTAACCCAAGGGTAAAACATGTCACACAGGAGTGATAGATTCCCGTTCAGAACCCCATTTCTTGTTTCAATTTTGTGAAGAAGTTGATATTGGCTTTCCTTTCGTTTTGATGTATCCACATTTCTGTTGTCGTCATCTCGTGCCGATTATTTTTCCTGTATGTTGTCTTTGTGGTATATTATAAATGTATATATGTCCCTTAAAGTAGGGAAACACGATTCTTTATCATGTGATCAGTGTCATCCAATTAGATACGTTGTTATAAAGGTGAGGTATAATACTATTTTTTTAGACTTTAAATTCACACGTTTTCAGAAAATAAAGCTTGTCACGCAAATGAACTTTTTCTGCTATTGATTTCATGTTCATATAAAAATGACTTGGTATTACCTTTACGACGGAATACAACAAGTATCACTATCGGCGAAAACAGACTGCATTCATAATTACGATTCTCACGAGCTGTATCATTATTTCCTAAAACGAAACACACTTTTTAAAAATGTATTTCATTTACATGTTACACAATATTAACCCTTCATAACATGGATAATTAGAAAAGGTTGTATCAATAACACTGAAATCATACTTACTGTCTATTTTATGCAGTTATATATGTTTAAGCATTGGCTTAAAAGAAGCTATATAGTGTTTTAAAGATATACTAGTATCCACTTCATTAAAGGTGAGAGAAGTATTTACATTCTTATCATTAGCCCTCCAATGTCATAACAAGGGTTGCTCATTGAGGAAAACCAATTTGTTTTTAAATGTGTATACCATAAGTCAGCTAGGAATTGTGTGGCGTTTGTGTTTGATATCGAAAACGCATTATGTAGATTTATTTCTACTGTTTGTATACATACCTTGCTACTGCCAATGTTTGGTCATAATGCCCATCCCCAAGTTTTTGTGTCGTTCACATTCATCCACCACAATTTTTAACATATCGCGTTTTTATGTGAAACGAAATTAATTCACCTTTTGACATATGCTTTTCGTTGTAACACAAACAAAGCATAAATCTTTTGTCTAAAAAGCAACCTAAAATAAACTAAAATGAACGTGAATCTGTAATTTGACCTCCCATAGTCTGGGTTTAATTGTATTTCTCACACCTGTAAATATCCGTTTTCTCGTGGATGCAATTATATTAGAAACGGAATCCTTGTCTTTGAGAAACAAAGTACATACACAGTTTGTATGCTATAATATATGAAACTAATCAAAATTAAAAACAAAAGGTGTCAGATTTAGTTGAGTCATGATAGTAAGCCCACTTGCGATTCGATTGGCTGGTTACATATTACTATGGCTAGTGACGGAGTATCCAAATCCATATATATACAGGCGCTGAATAAAGGTGATAATCGCACAGAACATCAAGATAGTCGGTTCATCAACAGGTAAGTCTATTGTTATCCTCTGACAGATGACAGCTTTCTTTCCTCATTTGTAATTTCTATAGATACTTATAGCTGTTATTTTTGTTCATTTGTTTGGTTTGTTTTTCTTGAAACTTAAACAATATTCTTTTTTTAAAAGCATCGATATAGCATTTAACTAAGGTACTAGAAAGCATGCACACATGTATATACAGAGTTACAGATGTTTTCACTTGTTGGTTTCTGAAAAAGACAAAGGGATATTAATTTTGATTGGACTTTTAACAATGTTATTACGAATTTCATGATACTTGTATATTGTCAAACACTAAATTTCCCCTTGAAATCGTTTTCATTGTTTTCCGAACGATATTTTTTTTGAAAATCATAATTCGGAAAAGGATGTTGAATTTAAAGTTTGTCGAAGAACTTGTAAGTTTCAATCCTTGTAAGTTTTAGCGAAAATAGTAACCTTGTATAATAAACTTATTGACAGTAGAAAAAAAATCAAATATCGATTCAAGCAATATAAACAGGTATGAATATTCTTAAAATCACATATCTATATATATATAATTTAATTATACAATTGGTTCGTAAAAAATTGCAGGTAACTGAAAACAAACTTCCTAGAAAAATTGGTGATTTGTTTAATAAATACTGCAATAACCTACTTTAACACAATACTCTCTGCAAGATCTTAGAAACCGAAGGAGGGCTAATCTATTGTCCTAGAATTTTGAGTTCCTGATACCTGTAAATCATTTCCGGCGTCATATCTTTCAGTGTAGTTATCGTCCTCTTCGTCTTGTTCTATTCTAAACGATAATTGATTTATATATTAACCCTTTGTATAAGTGTAGGTATCCAACGTGAAACAAAGATATCTCGATTGATATATCCAGTTTTGCTTTAGATCAAGAACAATATATCAAAAAGAGAATAAACGTAAAATATACTGGGATTTGCGGCGGTGATTATACTGCCAACCAACAGTACTAAAACACCAAATTAATAGATGATTTTGAATTATATTTTCGTAATAAGGATCACTCTGTCGTTGATGGGCGTTGTAACGTCGTAGCATTAACAGTGAGGCGGAATCACATTGACCTTTTGGGGTCACGATATTGTTCATAATGTCATTAATAATCAATTTCATGATTTTGGTCAATGACGTAACTTGGTTTAAATCGACATAAATAATTCTCCGTTGAAAAGTCAAAAACCGCATTACATTTCAAATTAATTAGAATGACCTTTACTTTATCGCAATATGTCATTAATTTAATTGCCGCTTTGTAACAACTTGTCTTGATTTCCCATCCAGGTATTAATTTGAATAGTAAACTCAAATTTTTTGCATATCATATATTTTCTACAGTTTTGATACAGTTTGAAATTAACAACAATTCCTAACAGTTATATAAATACACAAAAACACAAAACCAAATTAAAAGTAAACAAGAAAAGATGTTAAATAAAATTCATGAGTTCTAACTGCATAGATATTTTAATTCAAAACGTAATATATTCTTTGCTGTGCGCGGACAAAAAGGTCCAAAGGTCAACAGTCAGTGTGATTTTTTTATAGATTTATAATTTCCGTTAGTCTCATTCTATCAATAATTCCTATTACGTGATTTGAACAAACCTTATACAATGGTAAAGTATCCGATTACCTCGAGCAAATACGTAATTCACATTGCCAAGACCAACGCTACCGTCACGAGTTGTAGAAAATCCTAGCTACAGTACTTCACATTTTAATAAACATTGTACATATTTATATTTGTCAATATTTCTAAAAAAAAATGTATTTTTGAAAGTGTTAAGGTCAATGTGACCATTTTGTCAATCTATTGACTTTTTTAAGTCCACCGAAGAAAATATAATGAGATATCTCCATATTGATATAGAAGTAAACGTATATAATGACATCTATAATCAGAAAATGAAATTGTTAGAGCAAGTATTAGTTACAAGATGCAAGCAGTTTTCTCTACTACAGACTGTTTTGAATGCCAGGAGATTGGATATACAAATTGTACATGTATATCGTTTATGATGCCTTGCTTTCTCAAATACTACGCAAGTTCTTTTCTTAAATGTAACTTTCTATAATGTTTCAAAGAGACAACTGTAGTTTGGGTGCCTATTTAACCAACGCGCGAACTATAAGTTTAACTTCGTCGGCCACAACACAGACTTCGTCAATTAAAGGCAGACGATAAACCAATCACTCAACCAACCAACCAACAAACTATCAATTTAACTGTCTTCGATGCGGTATGCTACCTGTATCATGAACCCGCACTGTAATGGAAAGCGTGCGTTAAGCCAGTTTAAGTCACCTAGCGCTAACCTGATATCGATGTTTGTAGGTGTGACATTTTGATAATATATTGTAAGCGGACTTAACATTTACCAGAGTCAATTTTTAATCTGTGACGTCGGTATTGGCACCGTTATTAGGTGTTTATTCCATAAAAAGATTATACGACAAGTGAGGTATTTCAGTATAACCGAGAAATAACCCTTCTACCCATAACTATGTTGCCTCTCATCGTGACATTAGAATTAAGGATTCCTCATTTATTTATTGAAAGTACTGTCTTTTACACTCGAACGCTCGCTTTTTAACGATATTTTAGAGAAGGTCTCACATCAGACATTTCATTTGTACATGTACATGCTATGAGTTATGAAATTTATCTCGCGAACTTGCGCGGTACCTAGTCCCCAGTAGACAAACAGTATTACCTTCGATGGCCAAACTAAAACTGTCTATTTCCCTAGTAGATAAGCAGTATCATAAATAAAAAAAAAAGAAAACAAACTTTTATTTAACAAATTCTGATTCGTATTTTGTATGCTTAATAAAAATAACATACAGCATTTGATATGGCGCCCTGTCTTGCTAGAATAAGCCACTCTAAAGCACTTTAAAGTAAATAGATATATAATTTATACAATCAATAAAATTAGCATATAACAAACATTAATCAATGCATTTTTTGAGGAATTCGCAGAAGCTGCCTTATCATACGCTAACTACTAGTCCTATGCCACCTGGCTAATATCTCCCTATCTGCGTATGCCTGCGTGTGTGCTGGAGATGTAATGTGTTGCATATGCATATATGCGTATATACGTATATGACAATACTCGGATAGTACTGTATATACATTATTCGTTATTTCGGAAATATTTCACTGATACTTATCAATTTTCTGTCTAGAACTATACTAACGACCAGTTATGTATTTTTAGGCCATTCATCGCCATGTCTATCGCCACTATTCTAACGACGCTGGCATTGCTGCATCTAACTAGTGCAATATTCTACACAAACAGCAAGGAGAGTGATTTACCCCGAATAGGAAAGCGCCACCATTTAAATCCTTATATTCTGGGGCGGTTTCGCAGACCATCAGGCACCGAAAAACAACAAGCTTACGATCTATCTGAGGATACGGAAAGACGAATCAGCCCAAAACAAAACTCGGAGGATGATATTGTAATGTTTTTGTCCAGAAATTACAATCCGAAGGGTAAGAACAAAATATTATCTGTGAAATAACTCGCTGTTTCTGGGTGTTTTTTTTTTGTTTATAACAAGGAATCCTTATTACTCACAGGTAAATATTAGTTTCAGACCTGTCTTGCATTTTACCTACGTGATACGTTTTGGTGGTAAAAAAAAAAAGAATTGATACTCTGCAAAAACGAGCTTATTCAAAAATGTGGATTTTTTTATTTTCAAGGTTTTATGTCTCAATCATGATTAAACAACACAAACTTATTTGATTGTGCTTCAACAAGAAAGCGTTACCCTATTTAATCCATTTTTAGACATAATGTTAATATATTGATTGCAAACGTTACGTCTCTTATGCCAGGTTAATTCGAATGTTGAAAATGGGTTAAGCATTGCAAATGCTTATTTTCCATGTTTTTTAACCAGACATTCAACTGAACAGCGCTTAGCGCTTATCTTTGTTACGTCAAAATAAGCGTGGTGTATAATTCACGCTTCGTCGTCAATAACCTTCGGTAAAAGGTCAAACGGATTCGCAGTAGATAAAATTACTGTACTGTTTTCAGGGTCTTCGTTATAGTAACCAAAGATTATTGACGACGAAGCGTGAATTGCACACCCCGTAAATTTTGACCCACAAAGATAAGCATTGTGCAGTTGAATGTCTGTTAAAACGTGTAAAATACACCTTTTCTATGCTTAATTTATTTTCAACATTTAAATTAAACTGCTATTAAAAAAGTAACATTAATATAAGTGATATGCGGTGTGTTTTAATTACAACATATCAGGATAAAGATTGTCAAAAATCTGTCCTAATAATTATCTGTGTTAGCTGGACAATAACAATTTCATATTTTTATTACAGGGAACCGAGTCATGTAAGGATTCTGATACATGTACAGTCGTGAAGGTCATTGTTGCTATCAAAGACACAAGCGCCGGTGATGTTAAAATGTTAACGATAAACCTGTTATGAAACTGGCATGTAAGAAATAAAAGGTTATTTTGACAAATTTCGATGTTTGGTTAAATCATTAACAGTTCCAATAAGGACCGGAATGGGTAAATATGTTACCCGTCCCCCTTTCTTCCTGCAGTATGAGAGTGCAATTGGGCTAATATCTCTACGATTTTTGACAGCTGACTTTACCTGGTTCGGCCAACTAAGGTTTAGTGAGTTGTTTTCAGTGGTTTATATTCGTCATTTGCAATTATTGCTTGCCAAAGGCAACAGACGTTTTCGAAAGCTCGCAAAATAAGTTTTCAAATTTCTGTCTGTGTTCAAAGCAAACTTAGTCTTTATTAACAGAAAAGTTATGTTTTCATTCAACAGGTTTTGAAAATGTTTATTGTGATAATATTTCTATTGCTGTTTATGTTTCATTTAGACACACTTTCACAACATCCATTCACATTTCCTATAGTAACATTTGATTTCATGTCAAAGTTTTATTTTCTACACAAACGATGTACGTATTCAACGTGTCGATCCGAGACGTTTCGCCTATCGATAGGGAGCGTATACACACTGCATCAGATAGGTTACAGGTAGGGTGTAAATATTGCCCCCTCTCCTGTTATGTCGGTATTGGTCATACATATGACTCAACTGGTGTCCCCCCTCGTCTCTGTAAATGTTCTGAGTTTTCCAGACTGTGATTGCTTCTTTGATTTGTCTCGTTTTGGAGTTTTGCTCCCTTTCAACTATCTTGGCATTGTCCTAAGATTGGATAGGCGAAACGTCCCGGGCCGAGTGACATAAACAATATACAATTTCGTCACGTCGTTGTACAGGTTAAAAAATAATAATGGCCCACTCAGTCATAGCTTGACAAAGGGACCAGTATATCTTGAATCGTTGCGACACGATTAATACGTACATTGTTTTTATATAAAGTAAAACGCTGATAGCACATATTTCCAAATTGATGTATCTTATTGAAGATAACATTTAATTTCGTTTGCATGATCATCAGGCTACACTAATTTAGGTATGCTGACCCACTGGACTCTTCAACAATGAGATAAAACAAATCGTAGAACATTATTGGAAAAAAATACAGACGTTAAGTTATAGTTTTAATGAATCATTGAAATTTTGAAATGTGTGCCGCTTTGAAATTATAAACAATATTGATATATAAACATGCATGCTATGTCACAATACATTTTCCATCAAATATTCATTTGATAAGGTTTTTGACGAAACATATTGTCGAAAATATCAATTTTGGAATGTTGTCAGATGCGTCGTTCCACATTTGATTTAACGTTTCTTTTTAATAATTATTTGAAAAGAATTACGAATCCATTTAAAATATCTAGCAGTATCAACGGAACCGTCATTTGTGAAACTAATCAGTAAAGTATAACAAGAGGCCATTGACAACGTGGCCTGCACTTTTTGACTTTTTACATGAAGGTCTTTGCGATACTAAGTAAGTTGATTACGTGTAGAGTTTACAGATGCAATATATTTTCAGATTAAAAACAAATTTTTATAGGCTTTTTTTTCTTACTTTTTATAGAACACGTATGACTTTAAAATCTCAAGATCAGGACAAAATTTCAAAATTTCGGTAGTGATCTAGCTTATATGATACTTAAACACCATAAAAATCATCAGATCTCAACTCTTAATCATTACTGTATGGTGGTTGATACTTTTGTTTAGGCTCGCTAGCGCATAGGCGCGTGAGATCTAACAAGAGGTAAGGTATATTGATCGTCACAAAACGTATGAATTAGGTAACTAGTTTCGGCAGTATTTTCTCACTTGATAATATAATTAAAATACATTCTTAACAATAAGTATCATAAAAGATTCATCTGCATTTAAAAAAAAACGTACACAAACCAAAATGACAGACATCCCAAACCTCCACTTAAAACGACATGGACGAAACAGGGAACGCGTTTCCCGTAGTTTAATTGACATCTGCCATGGTCTCCAATCCTCTCCAGGAAGCCAATGGCATAAAAAGTTAAGAAAAACATACACGCCCGTAGTCCTTTTTTTCAGGTGTTACTCGCATTATGTGTGTTAATTAAAGTGTCGTAAAAGTAAAAATAAAAAAAATGCATTGACACAAAAACATAGATGTGATTATTTCTAAACATTTTCTTCGAGTTGGTAAGTATGGATTGTGAAAAAAATCATGTAGCACAACCACAATATGTTTCTATGCGACGTTTCGGTGACTAGTACGGTATGTACTGTGTCACCTTCATTAGACAAATGACCAATGAAGCGTATGTACACAACTTATGTATACCAACTAATCGTAAATACGCATACAGCGTTGCTGAATGGACAACTCGTACATCTTTTACACCTTTGTGTATATAAGCTTCACTGGTCATTTGTCTGATGAAGGTGACAGAGTACATACCGTACTAGTTATCGAAACGTCACATATAGACACTTTTTGGTTGTGCTACATGAATCTTTTCACAATAGATGTGATTATGCAAAGTATATAATCAAGTGAGTGTGTCAACGTTGATGTTATTCTGTCAGAAAGTAATTAAATCAGTGTTTATTCAGTTATGGACACTAAACTAATCAAAGGTGAAGTAAAATCAGGAAGCATTCATTTGAAATTATAACCTGTCGATACATAAATCTAAAGTAAATACTTATTACACTAGGACCATTTCTCCTTTTGCACAAACAGATAGAAAAGTCTATTTTTTTAATTCCTAAAAAGACTTAAACGAGACTTAATACAAGTACCGATTATCCTTAAGATGTCAAATAAGTTTGCTTTTGGACCAACTAATAACTAATAGTTTCAACAAATGCAGTTCAATGATTTTCGGCAAGTTTTTTAGCCACTATCGTGATTTCATTGATTTTTTCTATTTTTTACCGCGATATGAATATTGACTTTTTATTATGCTCATTTGAGGTTTTGTTTTCACTACCCCGTTGTGATATTTAAGGGCGTGTTATTGATAGGAATTGACCTACATTTACAATTTTAATTACAATTATAAATTTTCAGGTAGAGGACGCTTCCCCTTCCGGAACACCCTGTCTTATTCTCGTTGTACGTTTCCAAGAAACCCCATTGTATATCTTAGTTTCGTTCATATTTGCTCTAGTTTGTCCTAAATTTAGTCGTCGACTTAGGGCATTGTTTGGATTTCTCTTGTGATCTATAATGGGTGTCATAAATCCTCATTAAACACAATGGAAAATTATTATTTCTTGTTATCAGTAGTACATTATAAAAATAAATATTTTTCCAGTGTCTACGCAAAGGAAAAGTCGTAAATAAGGGGATTTCAGGGGGAAATTGATCAGAAGAATCCATGTTTGATCCATTTTTACGACTCTAGATTCCAGAAATAGATATTAATTTGGACAAAACCAGATAAAAGGACACATGCTCTAATGATAAGTTTTATATTAGTGCTCACGGGCATCGTGACAATATAATAACAAATATAGAAAATCAACACCATAACATCACAATGCTACCTCCGGTTATTGACAACGATGACAAAGCAGATTTTTCTTACTGCCATAATAATGACTCAGCACACACAGAAGTAATACGTCATCACAGGTTTAATTGATTTGTTTACAATATGACAGACTCGTTTTCGGCACATGCGAAACATTTCAGTACTCATCTGTAAATATATCCAGATATGTTAAAACTTATATATTTTGCGAAATTTGAAATACCTTTACATTTCCTTAATTGCCAAAATACATAAAAGCATATCTACTGTTTTGAATAACCACGGTAATTATTGAGAAAAAAAAATCATGCAAAGTCCATTTATTCATTTCAGTCACGTGGCCCTCGGTTTCACATTTATATACTAGTAAGATATTCAATCGGGGCATTTTTATATGATAGTCGTGGTGTCTGAAAGAAACATTAATCTTGATTTGATGCTGGTATGCATCTCGACAGCTGGCAAAGAAGAAACTAATATCCACACAAAACACTTTGTGCTTGCCTGATGTAGTAGTGCGAGACCTCCTACAATGGTTGTGGAAAATGTAATACATCCATTTATATACCGGTAAGATATATTATCGGGGCATTCTACTTTGATACTCGTGGTGTCTGAAAAGAACAATCATCTTGGTTTGACGCTAGTAGTATGCCCCTCGATAACCGGTAAAGGCGAAACTAACTTCCACGTGACCTTCATGTTACAATAGTGTTTACGGATTACAATAGTGTTTACGGCTTACAATAGTTTACGGCTTACAATAGTGGTTACGGCTTACAATAGTTTACGGCTTACAATAGAGTTTACGGCTTACAATAGTTTGCGGCTTACAATAGTGTTTACGGCTTACAATAGTTTACAGCTTACAATAGTGTTTACGGCTTACAATAGTTTACGGCTTACAATAGTTTACGGCTTTCAATAGTTTACGGCTTACAATAGTTTACGGCTTACAATAGTGTTTACGGCTTACAATAGTGTAGCAAAAGAGATTGACATGTGATAATACCAGTGAACTATTTTTATGAAGACATCGGCCTTAGTGTCTCATTGCAGACTAGATTAATGACGCTATGTACCATTTTCATAGCTAAAGTACACATTGAATATACCCAAATTACATATTTGAATTCCGATGTTTTATTGGTGTCTTGTAATATGAATTATTAGGGGTTTAATATTTGGATGACTAGCTAACCAGTAAACAGTATACAGGTTAGGGTAACGTTATACTCAAACAGCTCAATAAAGTTTGTTTAATTCTCTAAACAATATACATAAAAAATATAAGACTTACATACCTAAATCAGACGCTACATTTAATTTCATTGAAATAGCATTACTTTGTTGAATTAGCTTATACCGTGGGAAGGTATAGCTTGGTGATAAAGTGATGGCTGTTCATACGTTTTATTCACTAGTAGACATTGATGTATTTTAAATGGGATGGCAATGCATTTATATATATATCGTCCATATCAAATTATACAAGCGTTGAAATGTTTTGATGTTTCTATAAAAGAGTCATAACAGTCGTACTGAGTGACTTTCCTATGCCTTTTATTAACTCAATACCGTTACACTGAATGGTTATAATACAGGTAAATCATCTAGTATTCCAGCATTTCCATTTCGTCAAATAAGCTTCATGAAATATTCACAAATAAACACGAAACGCACTCGGCATGTCGAGGCTTCATTCACAATGAACAAGTACAATGCAATATTCTAGGTGACATTAATAAATCAACATTCGTTTATGTGTATCACTTGTGTCTCACACAACTGCAATTGGTTAGGTCAGGTTAACTATATGACAATGTTTTTGGATTTATCATCTGTCATTGTGGTAGAAGATTGACAGTGGTGAAATGGGTTTGATAGTAGCCTTAAGCTTGTTGGTGGGGTTATCAGTCTTATGCGGAACAGTATTCGGACAAGGTTTTGATGATCTTAACAGACTCTACTCAAACTTAACAACACAGTATAACAAAAATATACGACCAACAGCCGATCTCACACAGCCAACAGAAGTGCACGTATCTTTCACAATGCTGTCTATCAGGGAATACGAGGAGAAAACTGGTAAGCTTACTATTGTTGGCATTTTCATCTTTGAGTGGCAGGATACGAACATGAGATGGGATCCTAGTGTCTATGGTGGCATACCTTCCTTCTTGATCCCGCAAAGTGAGGTATGGAAACCGGAAATTGTCAACGCAAAGCCATATGAGAAGAGAGAACCGCTGGGGTTTGACAGAGTGAGTGTCCGTGTGCTTGCGGACGGGAAGATGTTATGGATGCCCGGGGATGTGTACCAGACCACATGTTCCGCTGACGTCACGTATTTTCCGTTTGACGTACATCAGTGTAAATATGTCTTCTCACCATGGATGTATTTACTCGGCGAATTGATTCTTCAACCCACATTTGATGAAATGGATCTTGAGCTGTTCACTCCAAGTGGTCTATGGGAATTGAAAGGGACAGAAATAGCTGTGGATAGTGTACTAGGTGGTCATCTGTTATTTCTAATTATAACATTTAAACGCCGTCCGACTTTCCATATTGTTAATATCTTGGCGCCCATAAGTGTCATGGGACTTTTGAATGTGATGGTGTTCCTTCTTCCCGCAGAATCAGGTGAACGAGTGGGATTTTCTATAACTGTATTGCTTGCAATGTCTGTGTTTCTAACTATCATTTCCGACAGCCTGCCAAGTACAAGCCAACCCAGTATACCCAGAATATCGTATCTATTACTAGGAGATTTGGTGATAGGTACAGTTATCACAATATGTACGATTCTTGTACTACGGTTGCACCATAAACGTGATGACGAGGATGTCCCACGGTGGCTCCGGTGTATGTCCTGCACAAAATGTTGCTCCAAATCCAAAAGGGAGATGAGGAGAAGGTCAAATAGTGATGCATCATCAGAAACGTTCTCCAATTTGTGCGCTGACGGATTTTATTCCCAGCCTATAGATAACGTGTCGTCGACTCAAGACAACAGAAGATTGTATCAAGGGAGGATCAACAAGACTGGACACGTTCAGTGTAGATCAGGACATCGCATGGAAACATGGGACAATCACTACCAACATGACCTGAATATACCACGTCATGACACTATTGAGGGACATCCCAGTGACGACAGAAGCAGACAGGAATCACAAAACTCCTCATCCGAGCCTCACAGTATTGTCAAATGGAAAAACGTTGCTGACTTCTTTGACGTTTTATTTTTCCTATTTTTCCTTGTACTTATCATTGCCAAAAACATAATTTCTGTTTTGGTATTTATTGGAAACATTTAAAAGAAGTTTACGCTCGACTAGATGTATTTTGAGGTACTTTTCCAAAAGGTAAGAGCGAAATAATCCTTGAATTTTATTATCTTTTGCAAACACAAATCGCTCTTTAATTGTCCATTAAACGATTGCTTTAAATAAATTGGCAATTGGACACTGCATCGAAGCGTTGATACCCATTAGCCACCAGTGCGGTTAGATATTAAATGTCTATTTAACAAAAGTGAAACAGAATTTATTTTCAAATTGACTATTTTTCTTTTCAATTTTCATTGATGGCTCACGGATCGTTTATTTTGTAACTTGTACGGAACAATGAAGTACCAAGAGCAGTTTTTGTAAACTTTCTAGTCCACGGGAGCCGTAGACTTTCGGAACACATCCAATTATCCTTTTATTAACCCCTTTGTTCACACTACTTCTACGTAACACGGTACAATTTGTTTTCACTCTATCGAGTTCTTCTTTGTCATCCACGTATGCTTGCGTTAGGAACAACCTTTCACTTCTTGAACTGTCAATTCGACACACAATATTCGAAAAACAACCGTATTTATTGTTTTTTCGTCACATGCTATGTTAAAACATTATTTTTTAATTCAATCAACTTTTATGTATCAAATATACAATGTAAACTAGTAAAATTAATAACAAATTATAATGTTTGTTCGGACACCGATACATAATCTACCACAGACGTATCACGGCTGCCACGTTGTAATTTTGATGCTTATTCTTTAAGAGGTTGATATCAGTGTTGTATGTGTGGAATATGCAGACTAGCCACGTTGTTTTTACAGACAAGGATATATTTCCATCCACACGATGAACAAAGCGATCTTAAAATAAAAGATACCAATGCATTGTCTTAGGTAAAGAGTAGCATTTTCAAAGTAAAGGTCCTAAGTTACCCCCTGTTGTATTTCTGTTTTTCCTTTTTTATTTCTATTTTTATATATTCAAATTTTGAAATAACTAATCCCGTGAAATGCATCATATCATTTGATTTTGATGGAATATTTCTTAGAAAAAGGATTTCAACAAATATTTTTACAAAAGCGAAAATGGTAATAACATAAATTGTTTAACTTTTTGGTAACCTTTACCTAAAGCTTGAATTAGCATTTCAGGGAAAGTATTAAATATTCTTATATAAAAATAGTACCTGACCTTTACATTACGAAAGCCTATAGAGCTCATTTTCATAGATGAAAAAAAAATGAATTACGCGATATAACGCGAAACTTATTTTAGTTATTAATGAAGAGTAGAATTAGGTGAAATTTTGATGTGGCTAAGAGCGAATAAAACTCACATTTTCAAAACGGCCGCCAAATTGGTCATTTAAAAAAACTGTAAGAAAGTCTCTAGTTTTTTACATACTATCTGATGCATGTTTGTTTTTAGAATTGTGTTTCAAAACGTGTATGTGTAATATCTAAACACTTTGTTAAACAATTGCTTATAGAATAGTTTCGCGTTATATATCCGTAAGATTCGCGTTATTTCACACTTTATCCTGTTGGTATTTCTCTTTTTCAACCTTACGGCAATCCCTCCACAAATAAATCACTTGTCTATTTTTTGAAACAGATATTATCATGTAGATATCACAATGCTAATACTCCAGATTTATATGTAAAACTATAGATTGTAGAAAGATGGCATTCTGTCCACCCATCCAATAAAGTTATCAAAAGGTACAGGATAAGATTAAATGTACACTATAAAGCGATATTATAAAAACAAATACAATACATATGAATTCATCTTACGTTTCAAATTGCACTTATCTGTTGTGCAAATGGATATTTATTTTTAATATTCACAGTCTACAATTACATTCACTCAACAGCCATTGTTCCCACGTGCTGGATTTATCGTCTCATAGTCTGATCATAGAACGTGACAAGTTTCCATGACGTCGACAAAAATAAATATAATTCAATTTTTTTCGGGAAAAGGGACGCAATTGGGCAGAGTAAACCAAGGTATATGTATATTTCAGAATGCTACTTTTATTGAACTGATCACACTTAAAAGTGTATGTCTCCTGATCTGAATAACGAATACAATAGTTATTGAACATTCACATAAAAGTACTGTAAATGTAAGGCTTAGTTTTCTATTTTGGTCAAGTCATTAGGTGATAGCTCCTGTTGAGCACGAGTAAATATATTTCAGATTGCTTCATTTATCAAATTTACATGTGCTCAATTGGAGTTATCGCCCCATAGCCTGGCCAAACTGGAAAATTATTCCTTAAATAAAAACTCGTGCACACTGATACCAAATGAACACTACAAAGTACGTGGTGAAGTAGTATCCGATCAAGATAAAAACACCGGATAACTTATACATGTATGGACATTTTAAGGAAAATATTTCCAGATTGTATTACATGTACCAAGTAATAGTTTTTTGGGTAGTCGGGTGGTGCAGTGGATAGTGCGGTGGCATTTTACCAAGACGGCCGGGGTTCAATCTCCCGACGTGAAAAGGTATAACGGACACCTGTTCGACCACGTGGAATGTGTCCGAGTCCTGCGGTTTCCTCCCACAACAAGGTCATGTGCAGGCTTCCATTCGGGCCAACTAGTGTGATAAATATGGGTTGAGAAATCTTTTTTTCATAACTGTTGTAAAATAAATAAATTTGATTTTAACTACATGTTGTACACTGAAAGACAATATTATTTATTGAATAAAAAAAGTGCATCGATGCTTAAAGGGTGGCGGTATCCAATATTGATGAACTATTGGATACTGTCCTTTTAATCTAAATGCATATTTTTGTTGCTAATTACTGTAAATCAATTTATTTTCACAGGAGATTTATTTTCTCTTAAAATTGCAAACGGACTCATTAACGAATTGTATCTTCAGCGAATATCAATCATTTTTCGTTCGCCTTAAAAGGTAAAGAGAGATACTAAATACATTTGATGTTTATAGAAGGCAGCTAAGCAATTAGCTTAATTTATGCTCATAACAGCATAACAAGTTTATTTGTTTTATCTAAACTGCTATTAATTTGTGAGGGTGATTATAAGTAAGCAACATTAATATAACAATATTATGGAACAAGACACCTTAATAGTTTCTGAAAATATTGGAGGTTATTGATTGGCTGCTGATGACGTAAATCGGAATGCTGGCCCCTATTTGGTCAAGGTGACCTGAGGGTCGCGTCCCTTTGTTCATAAGGCAGCCATCTTGCGAATCGTTATCACCAGATCTAACTTGATATTTAAAACCCACCCACTTCCGACCCTTTGTATTTGTGATCAGTACAAAATTGGCATTTTGTGTGATGTTACCATCAATTAGGCTAGCTAAGATGGCGTTGGAGTTTTTTGGCAACTCCACTAGCTAAGGTCAGAGCATTGGGTAAACCTGCCTCCCCTAATTAACAGGGTTGGGGCAGCCGGCTCGCAGTAAATAATGTAAAGATGGGTTTGGCAACCCCACCTCAGGCGTTTTTTGGCAACCCCACTTAGGCTAGCTAAGGTTTTCAGTTATATTTTGATTGTAGTTGCTACCATGTTTGGTATATTTGCAACCACTTTGTATTTATGTGTTTTTTAACGTAATCTTAAGTTTTTTTATAGAAGCCACATGGTGGCTTAATCAGTATAATAAATATAATGTCACCCTTTGGGTGGCCATTTCACTCACATTTCTTGTTTGAGTTATTCTTGTTATGAGCAGAGAGGCATACACTACTTTACTAGTGTGTACATGTATTTGAGCGATGAATTTTTCCATGAAGTTTATCATCACTAAATGAAGCATTATAAAGCTTCCTATGGGACTAATGTTGTGATCTTTTCTACCTATTACAAATTGTACATTTTCAACAGTGAAATATAAACGTTTTATGCGGCTAATCAAGAGCAGGCTTGAGTTTGGAAAAATAACTATGAGTAATTTTAATTGTGGCATCACAATTGTCTTATTTCTTATTGTGACGTCACCATGTAGCATTCCTTTCCTTGCCTAGGCATGTTTTATTGACGGGAGATGGACTATCTGTTCACTGAAGCCCATGTCTTTATATAAAAAAAAGTGATTTGTGTTTGCCAATGGGTGTGTTGTGACCAGTGTAGTACTATTTTTCGAATTGTATAACTAAAACAAATGTATTACCTTACTTTGATAGAATATATGAGACTACCTGACCATTCTAGAAAACTTGCGCAGTTCTCAAAACTGGCTTGTTTTAAAAATCTCCAAATTCGTGGCGAATTATGGTTGAATATATCGTTATTTTTCAGGGTTGTTTTCAACTAATAAACTCCTACAAGACATTTTACATCTCCTTTTTTTCAATTTCCGCAAAATAGAATGCTACCAGTTATGCGAGAAAAAAGATGCGCTGTGTCAATTTACTTACCAAGTTTTAATGTAATGTTAGGTGTAAGCGGTAATGTAATGTTAATTGCAAGCGTTAATGTAATGTTAATTGTAAGCGTTAATGTAATGTTAATTGTAAGCTTTAATGTAATGTAATGTTAATTGTAAGCGTTAATGTAGTGTTAATTGTAAGCGTCAATGTAATGTTAATTGTAAGCGTTAATGCCAAGGTTCGATTCCTCGATCGGACGTAAAAAGGTATGGGATCACCTCCCTGATCACGTGGGTATTCCGGTATCCTCCTACTGTAAGACCCCAGTGCGCTAACATCCGGGCCAACGAGAGTGATTAATACATAAGTTTTGAAGACTTGTTTCGTAACTGTTATAAAATAAATAAAGCTATGTTAATGTTATTGTTGTAAAGGGGACATCAATTCGTGTGTAGGTGAAGATAAGCGCATAATACACGTAACGCATACAGTATAATAAATGAGAGAAAAAATACATAATGATTATGCTTTCACCGTCTTCGTCATTTTCACGTGTGTTTATATTAGAGAGCGAGGTGGCCGGAGGGGGATGAGGGAATTGAAGTGGAGGTTCTGATTGGCCGATGTCCGACTGACTTGTCCATGATGGTGGGCCATA